TCATCTTGGGATCCCAAGTTTAAAATGCTCTAATTACCAAAATGCGCTTTAATCCCAAAAGCAATTCTCTTTTTTTAACATGGTAAAAATGATTTACACAAATAATAGACTTATTGAATAAAGTGGAGTAAAGAAATATTAAGATTGACTAGTTCAATGAAGTCCCAGGACAATATTAGTTCCCCCGGCCCAAAATTTCTATGTGGTGTGTGTGCATGTGTGTGTGCATGTAGGTGCAGGCCAGAGGTTGATATCAGGTGTCTTCATCTTATTTTTTGAGCCAAGGTCTCTCACTGAACTTGGAGCTCACCAGTTTAGCTAGACGTGCTGGCCAGTGAGCTTCAAAGGCCCATATGTCTCCAGCACCCAACTCCAACCCAGATGTTACAGAAAAGCACTGCCACAATGGCTTTTAAATGGGCACTGGTGATCCCGACTCAGGTCCTCATGCTTATGTAGCAAACACTTGACTGACTGAGCCATCTCTTCAACCTCTATTTCCCCAAATTTTTGCATAAAGGCTAAATTGGGTGGATGAAAATATTAGGGCCAAGCTCTATAGACAGATAAATATTGTTAATTAGATTCCTGGTAACCACAAAATTAACTTTAAAGAAAAAAGAAAACTCTAACAGCTCAGGAGAATAAAACATTCTTTTCTGCCAGAGACTCCTATGAGGAGTTTCTCTTGAAGTATCCCATAAAAGGTCTCTTTGAAAACAGTACCCAGTGTCTTTACCCACACACAGGAGCTCAGAGTTCAGCAACACGCTCTGTCCCCAACAAACCCAGGTCAAAATACAGCCCAGTGTACACAGCTCTCTAGTGGCCAACACAAGGGGGGGTCTCGTTGTGTGGTTATCTGGTGATGATCCAGTTTGGGATGGGTTGAGTGTATCAGAGTAGTGATTTTCAAACTGGGCTCCATTTGGTCACTTGGGGAAGTGATGGCAAATGATCAGTGTGAAATTCAGAGCCCTTTCTCCCAGGAGGATTGCCTAAATCTGGCTTTATATGAGTGCATTTCTTACTTTTGTGTTGTAACCAAAATTTCTGACAGAAACAACTTAGGAGATGAAAGACTTACTTTGGTTCATGATGTGAGAGGATTTGGTGGGTAAGGCATGGATGGCAAAGTTGTTCAGTCTGTGGCTGTGGGAGCATGTGATAGAAGTTCTTCACATGGTGGTGGTCAAGGAAACAGAGAGTGGCAGGAACCAGAGACCAGGTACAACCTTCAAAGACCTGCCCCTAGTGACCCACCTCAACCTGCCAGGCCCCATCTTCTAGAAGTCCCACAGCCTTACAAAACAGTGCCACCAGCTTGGAAACAATCATTCAAACCATGAGACAGGAATTTGTAAAAAAAAAACAGCTTGAGAAAGCACAGCCCAGGCTCTGAGGACGTGCTGGTCAGTGCCCTTCAGCCAGAGCCTCATCCCAAAGACTCAAAAAACTCTGGCACAGCCAGAACCTGCCAGAGAGACCAGG